CCTGGCTGCTTCAGTGTTAGGCATTTCATTTTTCTCCTAATTTAAAAAGGACAAACAGATACAAAGAATTTATATTGTTCTCCTCTGGCCCGGCTCCCAAAACTAGACAATATACTGGTGTTTAAGCCAGCAGAAGGTACCCCAGCCCTTCTGCTAAGGACAGAATTAATCATATAATGAGTGTGTGCCCTTCATTATTATTATTGTTCTCCTTATGTTGTAAGTGTAGCCACTGCATTAACCACAAAAACTGGACGAGGCACACAAGGCCTAGCAGACTGACTGCAAGGACGTAAACAGCTCCGCTCGGTCCGACGTGTGGTTCATTAATGCAAAACTGTTATTATTCCGCGTGGCCGCAGTCAAGGACTAATGGGAAGCGGTTGGCACAAGTGGCCGTAATTAGCACTGCATTTATAGAGCCAAACCACAGTTTCCACTTTTCCTCTCACTTTGCAGTTTCAGCACTGAGTGGCTGATGGAAGGACCTCCCTGTCCCCGCTGTTAGGTCCTATCTGCTTGGCTGTCTGTTCTGGGCCTCCAAAGATGAGAGCCTTGTGCTTGTGGGCTTCTCTGTGACCCCAGGACTCAGCTGGAGTCATCTTCCTTTTTCACTGGAGCCTGACACTTCCTTTGCAGGCTCCACAGCAAAACTCAGTCCCAGCAAATGCTCATGGATTAATAAAATTAAATGAGCCAGGGGAGCCTGGGAAGTCATCTAGAATCATCCCACACTGTTTAGTGAACAACTTGAACATCTCTTGGTCACCCTGTCCTCTTTGGGTGTGTTCAGCCATCTTGCCCACTCCCTTTCTACCCTCCCCTTTTTGAGGGGCACAAAATATCCTGTGTCTCATGACCCATGTTTGGCTGGGATCTGGGAAGCTGCCAATGCCCATTTTCCATGTGCTGGCTTAACCATGCCAGACAAACTCTGACACCAATTGCGGTGTTTGAAAGAAAATGGCACCCAAAGGGAGTGGCACTGTTAGGAGGCGTGGCCTTGTTGGGGGAAGTGTGTCACTGTGGGGTAGGCTTTGAGGTCTCTTTTGTTCAAGCCTCCCTCAGTGTGACAGTCAACTTCCTGTTGCCTGCAAGATGTAGCACTCTCAGCTCCAGCACCACATCTGCCTGCAGGCTATCATGCTCCCTGTCATGATGATAATGGACTGAACCTCTGAACTGTAAGCAAGCCACCCCAATTAAATGTTTTCTTTATAAGAGTTGCTGTGGTCATGGTGTCTCTTCACAGCAATAAAAACCTTAGCTAAGACACAAATAAATAGAGAGAGACAGAGGCAGAGACAGAGAAGGAAGGAAGGAAGGAAGGAAGGAAGGAAGGAAGGAAGGAAGGAAGGAAGGAAGGAAGCTGAAACACTGTCCTTCCTGGTCTCACCAGCAGCCTGTCAGTCCTGCCTGGCCCGGGGTAGGTCCTGCTGTCCTCACCTCCAGCCTGAGGGACGTGCCTAGCCTTGGGGAAAAGGAAGGAGCTGAAGCAGAGCTCTGCCCAGGGCTGCAGCATCAAAGAGCTTGAAGCAGGAACTCCCTGGGCTTTAAACAAACAATTAGGAGATGGAGTAGGGACTTCCCAGGTAAAGGAGGGACAGGAAGTCCAGGAGTGACACAGAAAGCAACTCCCAGAGTCCTCAGAGGCTTGGACTCTGTGAGTCCAGATTTTCTCTTTGTTCTTTTTTTTTTTTTTCTCTCCCCCTTTGGTTTTTCAAGACAGGGTTTCTTTGTGTAACAGCCCTGGCTGCCCTGGAACTTGCTCTGTAGACCAGGCTGGCCTCGAACTCAAAAATCTACCTGCCTCTGCCTCCTGGGTGCTGGGATTAAAGGTGTGTGCTGACACTGTTCTCTTTGTTCTTTTTTACAAAATGATTTGTTTTATTTTATTTTATGTGTATGGGTGTTTTACCTACATGAATGTCTGTGCACCATATGCATGCATGCAGTACCTGTGGAGGCCAGAAGAGGGCATCAGATCCTCTGGAACTGAAGTTACAAATGGTTGTGAGCTGCCACATGGATTCTGGGAGCCAAACTTGAGTCCTCTGCAAGAGCAACAAGTACTCTTAATGCTGAACCATCTTTTCAGCTTCCACTTCCTCCTCCCATTCCCAAAGCTTACTGTTATTTGTAATTATAGGTATATCCTGTCATAGAAGCCAAAGGTATTATTTCCCTGCTATGAGCTGTAGTTACAGGTGGTTGTGAGCCACCTGATATGGGTCCTGGGAATTGAACTCAGGTGTTCTGCAAGATCTGTACACATTCTTAACCTCTAAATGATCCCTCTAGCCTCTTTTCTGAAACATGGTTTCACTATGTGAGTGAAGCTAGAACTCCACCCTACTGCCTGGGTGCTGGGATTGCTCCATCCCCCTGAGTACGGCGATTACAGGTTTGCATCACTATGTCTGTCAGGTCTAGAGTTTCAGAGAGCTCTGCTCTGTTGCTCTTGCCCCTCAAGGTCCTATAACTTGGGCAGTGCAGGCCTGAGAAAAGTGGGGGAGCTGACGTGTGGCTCAGCCTTGTCCTCTGCCTCTCACCATCAGAGCACTAGAGGTAAATGCACACCCTTGGCCGAGCCAGAGCAAATCCAGCTGGCTCAACTGCATTTCTGAAATGGGGCTTGTGAGACCAACAGGGCCACTATAGTCCTTAGGTTTCAGTTTGGATCCGGACATTATAATCTTCTGGCTGTGACTTCCTCAACCATACCTGCTTATTAAAACTCCTTGATGCTCAATTTCCTCACTTACGACTGGGACCAACGGTCACAAGTTAGGACTTAACTCTTTGACCGATCAGCGTTAGCCCCTGTGCTTGGTCTCTAGGATATCAGAAGCTGTGCCAACGCAAAGCTGAGTCCCAGTGACCCCTGTTTACTCCCTGCCGATGCCGGTACAACTTGCCCGGGCCTGGGGTGAAATGAAACACAGTTATGTTCCATTTTTATTATCCTGTTCTGAATGCAGCTGGATAATCTCCCAGTTAAAAAGGAACGTGGCTTGTGCCTCTTTCCGGAAGGACCTCATGTCCTCCCAGAAGTGCCTGCTGCTTGCTCTTTCATGTGCTCGCCCGTGGGTCCGATTGTCTTTTTTGTCTGTCACAAGTGTTTGGACATAGAAACATACTAGGTCGAGTGCAAAATACTAGAAACCAAACGATGATGAGAGAGCCAATGCTGCTTCTGTTCTGAGCTTGAGAGAGTCAAATAAACACTGTAATTGCAGTCGACACCGGGGCGGCCCTTACCCAGCTCTGTGCTCAGGACGTGAGGTCAGACCTAACCCCGGCCACTCTTCGGGTGTTTGACATGTGTCAGGGGCTCCCTGAGCTTTGTCTGTTGCCTTGTGTAACTGTCACAGAGAGTTCTGAAGTCGGTTTCATCGCCGTCATTATACAGATGAGGATAACAAGGGATGAAATTAGACAGTTCAGGAAATGCAGCCAAACCCAGATCCAAATGGTGTTGTGTTCAGCTCTTAGCCACTGTGTGTTACATGGTCCTTGAGAGGCCCTCGGGGACTGCAGACAGAGATCCCCAAGCCCGGGCCTGACAGGGCTCGTGACCCGCTGATTGTGAGGGGCTCAGAACTAACTCACCGGCTAACGTCCCACTGACTGCTGCTTCCACACTCCTGGCTGCACAACTGCCAGAACATAAACTGCGGGTGGGTCCCTGAGGCCCCGTCACAGGGAGGCTTGTAAAGTCTACTTTCCTGTCAACTTCCTAGCCATGCTGTGCTTTTGTGGAGAGAGGAGACAGGCACAGCTGATCCATAGGTTCTCAGAGTGGTCACAGACGTTGGTCTCAAACTTGTAGCTCCCTCCCTGTGCGACCCCAGAATTCTATCCCTGCAGCAGGCTTTCTTAGACTGCCAGCCCCCAAATCCCGACACGGAGACATTATTAATTATGAATGTTCAGCCTTAGCTTAGTGTTGTTTCTAGCTAGCTTTTTTCTTTAACTTAAATTTACCCATTTCTGTTCATTTATCTGCTGCCCCAGGCTTGTTTACCTCATTTAAGTGCTGTTCATCCTGCTTTCCTGTTCCCTCCATGTCTGGCTGGCCCAGGCTGGCCCAGGCTGGCCCAGGCTGGCCCATGGCTGCTCCCTGGTGTCTCTTTTTCTTTCTCCCCTTGAGCCTAAATTCCTCCTCCAACTTACTCTCCCTGCACGGAAGTTCCACCTATACCTCCTCTACCTAGCTACTGGCTGTCCAGCTTCTTATTAGGCCAATCAGGTGCCTCAGGCAGGCAAGGGAAAACAGCAACACACCTTTACATAGTTAAACAAATGCAGCATAAGCAAGAGCAACACACCTTTACATAGTTAAACAAATGCAGCATAAGCAAGAGCAACACACCTTTACATAGTTTAACAAACATTCTATTCCACAACAAATCCCCGTTGGTGTTCAGATGGGAACTGGCTCTGGAGAAACAGATCACTTACCGCGAAGCAGCTGGGTCCTAATCTAGACACCCCGTATCTGTGGGCGAGCTGAAACTTTATTCTCGGTCACGCATTTCCACCTTTGATCTTGTTCTGCCGTCTGAAGCCATATTCCAGACAGATGAACACCTGCTCAGGTACGGAAGACTTTCCACCCGCTCCGCCCACACCCACTAATGCCGTTCTTCATCGGTTGAATACCAGGTACTGCAAAGTGCCCTTCCATTCAAACCAGATCCAATGCACGAGCCTCGCCTTGAGTCCCACTCACGGGTGCACTGGAAGTCCACATTACCGAGTCTCTCTGCCTCTCAAAGAGCCTTTCCTACCAACATTGTCATGTGTGACTCTTCCAGATGTGTTAGCACAGTGCCACAGCTGTGAACATTGAAGAGGGAAGAAAACCTCAAGTGAGTTCTTCACACACCCGCATCCCTTCACCATCTCCCTTTGAATTACTTTTCACTAATAAGACCCTCCCCCATTTGTGTTTTCAGAGACAAGGTCTCTCTATGTAGTCTCCCTGCTGCCCTGGAACTCAGTTCTGTAGTCTAGGCTGGCCTCAAACATGTGGTGGTCTCCCTCTCTCTGCCTCCTGAGTACTGGGATTACAGGCATGTGCCACCACACCCAACTTAAATTTTTTTATTTTAAATTATTTAATTATTTTATGTGTATAGGTGTTTTGGTCACAAGTATATCTGTGCATTACGTGTGTGCTGAACCCGTGGAGGCCAGAATAGGACATTGGATTTCCTGGAACTGGAGTTACAGATGATTGTGAGCTGCTGTGAGTGGGGGTGCTGGGAATCTAACCTAGATCTCTAGAAGAGTGGCCACTGTTCTTAACTCCTGAGACATCTCTCCAGCACCCCCCACCCTGACTTAATTTTTTTTATGGTGAAAAAAATGTATACTTAGAATTAGCCAACTGGACTCACCTTAGATGATCCCAATTTTGTTGGCAACATCTAGAACATCATAATCTGGAGCCAAGTGAACATACACCCTCTCTCCATCAGGCCTTATGAGGGTGTTAACTTTGGCCACATCAATGTCAGAGTTTCTTCACAGCGTGTTTGGTCTGGTTTTGTTAGCCTTGACATCCACAATGAACACAAGTGTGTTGTTGTCTTCTTCATGGCTGACTCAGTGGTCGGTGGGATTTTGATGATGGCATGGTGGTCAAGCGTGTTTCTCCTGGGCTCATTCTTTCGAGGGTATTTGGGCTGCTCCGGAGCTGCAGCGTTGGGCTCTCAGAAGGTGGGTGATGTGTGGATCTTTTTTGTGACTGTGGACACCTTTCAGCACTGCCTTCTCGGCTTTCAAAGCTTTGGCTTTGGCTTTGGGAGGGGCAGGAGCTTCCCCCTTCGCTTTTGGCGCCATCTTGGTGAAAAGAGTTGCCTAATGCGACTTAAAATTTTAAAGAAAAACTTTCCTTCCTTTTTGGATCATTTATTTTATGTGGAAGCTAATGAAAAGGCAATGTTTATAAAACTTCATTTGGCAGAAAAATAGAAACTTTGTATATGGATTTGCTTTTGTTTCTGTCTCAGGACCCACACCAAATGCATTATGTTGCTCTTATTCTTGAGAAATGTTCCTGACACTATTTTTTCCAGGCTACAGAAGTGACTCAGTATCTTTCTGTTAAAGTATAAAGAAAGAACATAGCCCAGAAAAAAACTGTGGAAGGAAGCCTATAACCATCCCCTTTAGATGCAAAAGCGCTCTCTCTCTCTCTCTCTCTCTCTCTCTCTCTCTCTCTCTCTCTCTCTGGTGTGGTGTATGTGCATCTTCATATGTGTGGAGTGCACTCACCTGTGCATGCGGAGGCCGGAGCTCTCCACCTAGACTTTTCACACAGGACCTCTCTCTGGGCCTGAAGCTCCTTGATTGGCTAGACCTGCTGGCCAGGGAGCCTCTGGCACTGGAATTACAGGCTCACCCCATGCCTGGTTTGTACCTGGATGCTGGGCATCTGAACTGAGGTCTCACACTTCTGCAGCAAACAGTTTATCCACTGAGCCATATCCCCAGCCTAAGACACAAAAATTCTTAACAAAATTTTAGCAAGTAGAACCCAACCACACTATCTGTAAAAGAGAAAAATGTCAGGAGCAAATACGGTTTAGCCCATCAATGCAAAGTTGGCTTAACACTCATATGTAATCAGTATAATCATTGTATTAATACACTAGTGAAGAAAAAGAAATGATCTTAGTAGATGCAGAGAGGAATGTAGGAATATCAAAATCCATTCCTAACAAAACACTCAGCAAAAGGGGAAATGGTTTGACCCAATAAACAGTAACTCCACGAAAAATCCACAATTGCCATTGTGTTCTAGGGTGAGAAGCTAAGTTCCTACATAAGATGTTACCTAAGGAATACAGTGATTCTCACAGCAGGGCATTGAGGGCCTAACTAGTGTAATAAAAAAAGATGAATAGAAGTCAAACAGATTAGGAAGGAATAATAAAGCTATCTTTACTCAATTCTGTGATTGCCTATGTAGAAAAGCTTACTGAGTCTTCCCCTCGAAGCTACTAAAAGTAATATGTTTGTAAGATCACAAGATTAAAAAGTCTACTGAATTACTTTATTGTATTTCTGTACACTGGCAACAAAAATCCATGTCTTAAAATACTACCTAAACTAGAACAAAATATAAGTTAAGGGCAGATGTTTCAAATGAGCATCATTTCCACACTGAAAAGTGTAAGAGGTTTCTGAGACGAACTAAAGACCTATGTAAGTGGAAGAATAGATTTATCGTGAGTTAGGATATTCAGTATGGCTAAGATGTTAATTCTTTCCAAGTTAATGTACAAATTCAAAGTGATTCCCATCAGGACCCTTGTCAACTTACCTTTTTAGAAATATACTTGGTTTCAAAGTATACACAAAAATGTGTAAACCTAAGAGTCAAAAAGTCCATTCTCATTTTTCCTGACAGTCATAGTTCTATGAAGTACTCATGACACTGAATTTAGCAAACACTAAATCTCTGTTCCTGGGGGAAAAGTAGGGTGCAATCCTGTGAGCTCCTGATCATAGCATTCATTGTTAAACGCATAACCTTCTTTTGCCCACTTTCCTTCCTTCCTTCCTTCCTTCCTTCCTTCCTTCCTTCCTTCCTTCCTTCCTTCCTTCCTCCTTCCCTTCCTCCCTCCCTCCCTCCCTTCCTTCTTTTCTTTATTTGCTTATTTCTTTCTTCCTTCATTCCTTCTTCAGCTGAGAGCAAATGTTTTGGGGAACTTGGTATTTTCCATACTTCACAATGTGTCTATGATAGTAGAAAAAGACAAAGTATTAATTTGGAGATATAAGTAAATTTTTATCAAGTAAGAAGATTCACAAATATATAATCTGTGAATAAAGTGCATTTGATTAAAACTCTGAAAAAGAAAAACAGAATTGTAGGTTTGAAGCTAGCTGGTTTTAGGACTATTTAAAAAGCAGAGTATAATCAATAAATATAATTCAATCAAGACTAGTCTTGTTTTTTTATTAATTTTACCATGCAACAAAACCTTTATTTTAAGAGAATGTAGTCTTGATGTAAAGATATACATGTAAAGATATACATTTAGGCATTTGGAACAGAATATACAGCGCATGAATAATTTTTGATGCATACGATGAAATGATGTTTGAGAAGGACATGAAAGCAATCCAATGAAGAAATAATATGTTTTTTAAAAGTTACATCAAAAATTGGATATATACAGACATATATATGTATATAGTATCTCACCATTACCCCATACCATGTAGACAAACAATTCAAAGTGGATTTCAAGAAAAACATAAGAAGAAATACATCAACTATCCAGGTGAAAATACAGGAGAATCTTGGTGTCCACAGATTTGGCAAGAATTTCTTAAGGCATTAAAAGAAAAAAATCAATAAACTATCAAAATTAAGACATCTGATCTTTGAAATATATATATGGCAAACTAGACTAGGATAAAATATTAAAAATAATATCCTACAAAGGATTTCAGAATATACAAAAAAGACAAAACAACCCAACAAAAATACATGAGATTTGAGTAGACATGGAAGCAAGGAAGACTCGGGTGAATGTTTGTGTAGTGTGTGTAAGACCTGGGTTCACCCCAGCACTGAAAATACAACAAAGAAAGCAAATGGGTGATGAAGAGGCTCGTGAGAGGATGCTCCTCAGAGTCAGCAGGAAATGCAAACTCAAACCGCAGTGGAGTATCATTACATACTCACTAGAAGACCTTGTTTTTATTTTTATTTGTGTGTGTGCATACCCTCAGAGACCAGAGAAGGGTGTTTGATCCCCTAAAGCTGGAGTTACAGTCAGTTGTAAGCCACCCAACATGGGTACTGGAGACTGAGCCCAGTTCTCTGCAAGAACAACAAGCACTCTTAACTGCTGAGCCACCTCTCCAGCCCTAGACTTAAAGAGTGACTGACACAGTCAAAACTGGAACTCTCCTATACTGTGTCTTAGTTGTTCCTCTATTGCTGTGGTAAAACACCACAACCAAGGCAACTTACTTAGAAGAGTTTATTGGGGGCTTACAGTTTCAGAGGGTCAGTTGGAGTCTGTAACTAGAGTTTTCCTGCCTTGCTCACAGTCAGGACAAATCTCTGTCACCTGCCAGTTCCATAGCTGCTCAGACCCAACCAAGTAAACACAGAGACTTATATTGCTTACAAACTGTATGGTCATGGAAGGCTTCTTGCTAACTGTTCTTATAGCTTAAATTAATCCATTTCCATAAATCTATACCTTGCCACGTTGCTCGTGGCTTACCGGCATCTTCACACAGTGCTTGTCATGATGGCAGCTGGCAGTGTCTCCCTGACTCAGCCTTCCACTTCCCAGAATTCTCCTCTCTCCTTGTCCCGCCTATACTTCCTGCCTGGCCACTGGCCAATCAGTGTTTTATTTATACAGAACGATACCCACAGCAGGAGCCCATAGCCGTCATGTTGGGGAACATGACAGCAACAGGCAGGCAATGGAGCATTAGCCGAGAGCTTATAACTTGATTCACAAGCATGAGGCAGAGAGGTAACTGGGGATGGCATGGGCTTTTGAAACCTCAAAGCCCACCCCCAGTGACATATTTCATCCAACAAGGCCACACCTCCTAATCCTTCGCAAACAGTTCTACCAACTGGGGACCAAGCATTCAAATATATGAATCTATGGGGGCCATTCTTATTCAGACCATCACATACTGCTGATAAGAATGTGAAATGTTCTACCATCTTGGAAAATATTTTAGCAATATTTTGCTAGCGTGGATGTGTACCTAATATGACCCTACCATTCTACTTTGATATTTACCCAAAGAAGTGAGTGATGTCTAAAGACATGGGCACAAAAGTTCACACCCACTTTTCTTGTAATAATCCTCCACTGGCAGCCATTCACATATTCCTTATTGGGTGAGTATACAACACACTGTGCCCAGGCACACACTATAATACTACATCTTATCCATACTGACAGAGGGTAGATCAGTATTTGCCCTGGGACCAAGAGGAGGGGTTACAGGATGAACAAAGAACTTTGGAAGTGATGATTATGTCTGCTATCTTGAGTGTGCTGATAATGTGTAGATATGACCAGTTTCTCAATTTATACTCTTTATTATTTTTTTAATTGAGAGAGTTCTTCATATGCAGCCCAGTTCTGTCTCATATGCACAGTTCTCCCGAGGCCTCCCAAGTGCTGGGATGCATTTGCACAGTTGCTTGAGACTGTACTTCATGCAATTTGTTTATACCAATTGCAGCTCAGTGAAGCTGGCATTAGTCATCAGATGGAGGCTTCAGGGGTGTGAGTGGTACTCAGACAAAGTGCTACAGAAAGAGAGACCAGAGAAAGAGCCTTGGAACTAGACTGGACTGCTTACATGGAAAGGCTTGCTTGAGGTACTGAGGGGCTCAGGAAAGGAATGTGTGAGCTGGGACACAGGATGGAGCAGTTGGAAACTGAAACTGAGTTCCAACTGTGTCTTTGGTGACTGAAGGAGCTGAACATGTGTGTCAAGGGCAAAGTTGCAATTAGTCCTGCATATTAAAATCACAGTTGGATCTGTGTGCTCTGTGCTAGTAGGCAGACAATGACACAAAGATGTCATTTATTCTTTCCCTGTGGGCGAGCACTCTTCCTGGGCACTTCTCTCATGTATGTGAGACTTAAGAAACTAAGATGTTAGCTTCCCTTATGCCCCACATGCAGCGCAGGAAAGGATTCTGATCAGTTTTAGTTCAGTGTGCATTCCTTATGCCTGCAGAATTAGCTAGACCACGGCAACAGTATGCCTCAAGGAGGTCCTTATTGACATCAAGTAGGATTGGTGGGTTGCTAGTAGCAGTGAGACTGACTGATTTCCTCACAGAGAAACATGGTTTTGAGACCAAACTATGGAGTTCGGGAGCTAGACCACACAAGTGCCCAGGGAAGGAAGATTTCACTCAAGGGAAAGCCTGGGCTGGGCATGCTCGTTGGTGGTTACTGACCTTTAAATTTGAGAGAATCCTAGAGGAAGGAGAGGGTGCATGGAAGGTGAAGGTTGGGGAGTGAGTGCTGGAGCAGCTACAGGCAGGGGAAGAACATGACAGACAGACAGACAGACAGACAGACAGACAGACAGACACACAGACACACACACACACACACACACACACACACACACACACACAGCAGGAAGACAGGGAGCACAGGCGAACAGAGAATCTACTGCAGAAGCCAGACTCTGGCCCAGCTGCTGCTTAGAGCGCCTTTGTATGCTCGGAACCCTTACTGAGAAGCGTGAATTCTGCCTCCAGCTTCCCAATCCTGGCTGCTGGCCCTGGAGTTTAGAGACAGTGGCGTGCCTTGCATTTGTGCCTCTGGCTGTCCCAGGGCAGAGTTGAAAACCGAAGAAATCTGGGGCAAAGAAAGTCCCGTGGGAGAATGAACTGACTAAACACAGAGCAATACTAGCTTTGGAAGAATTCCACGCACGGCGAGATGAGTCTGAACCTTGAGCTGCTTCTCTGTGTTGCAGTCTCCACAGGCACCAGATAGCAGCATGGCTGTCCCAGCAGCTTGTTAGAAATTCGGGTTGCCTAGACTTGAGTCAGACCTCCCAGCAGGGCCCACAAACCACCTGTGGATTCTAATGTCCCTCCCATCTTGACCTCTCATTAGGAAGCCCAGTGTGTGTGTGTGTGTGTGTGTGTGTGTGTGTGTGTGTGTGTGTGTGTGTGTGTGTGTGAAGACTCATAATGATGTGATAACTTTGGAAATTGAAAAGTGCTGTTTTTACATGCTGGAGTATAATTTTATTGACTACTTCAGTCAGGGTCTTTTTTATTTTATTTTAATGTATATGTATGTTGCCTATGGCTACGCCTGTGCATCATTGTGTGCTTGGTGCCTGTGGAGGCCAGAAGGGAGCACCAGATCTCCTGGAACTGGAGTTACAGCTGTTTGTGAGCCATCATGGGGATGCCGGGAGTCGAACCCGGGTCCTCTGAAACAGCACTGGCTGTTCTTAATCTCTGAGCCATCTCTCTAGCCCCTTACTTGGATTTTAGTATTTTGTTTGGGAGACCTCTTATCCTCACTTTCCTTACCCCAAAGAAACCCAAAATCTTGCTAGTGAATAGGAGAATTGATCCAAAGATTGGGGAGAAAGGAGCTGGCCCAGCTGGGGCTTGCCGGAGAGGGCAGCTTTGTTTCTCTGGGACTTTGTGTTCAGTTTGTTTCTTTCAGCAGAGAAGCACAAGGCTGATGACTCACATTTACTGTTGAGTCTTAAAATCCAAACTGCAGCTGTCAAAATAAGATTAGTGCCTTTAGGCACTTGGAAAGAGAGGGGATGGTCCCCAAAATGTGGGCTTGGCTTTGGCTTGCCTTTGTAGATCTCTAACCCGGGGTGAGCCTTTGGGTTAGGCAGGCAGAGACCCCAGTGTTGCCAGTGGAGTGAAATCACAGTCGTGGTAAGTCTCTCCTCTCTCTTGCTGTGGTAAACAGTTTCTGATGTCGGCATCTTGGCTTAAATAATAGGAGGAACTTTAAAAAAAAAAAAAAAAAAAAAAAAACCACTAGAGTGCCTAACTGAAGGTGTTCATTTGCTTTAACTCCAAAGGAGAAATTAAGCTGTCACTGGTGTCAAGAGCAGGCCCTGTGGCTTGTCTAACATTCTGAAACATCCATAAAAGCCCTTTGATTAAGCCCTGGATGGCGTGAGCCAAGCAGCCACAGCCTCTGCCTCAGGCTCCCCTCCTCCGACTAAGGAGATGCACATCCCAAGTTCCCTGGGCTGAGACCCAGCTTTAAGATCTGGATATGAATGAAGGGAACTTAAACCAGGGTGCATGTGACCCTCTGGGGAGACTCATAGCTAGCATGCCCTGACTAATTGATTTCACCTGCACTTGCAGTCAGCCGTTCCAGTAAAATTCTCCAGGACCAACGAGAGACAAGCTAGTTTTGCTGACCGAAGCTGTGTGCTAATAGTTGCCCCCTGGCAAGGTGGAGCTTGAATTTGGCCAGATCATTTATTATAAGCTTCAAAATGCCAATTGTTGCTGTATCTGACCAATTTAGCAAGCCAAACTTAGCCAGAGATACTTTTAAAATATTTTGTAAATGTAATATCCATGTCTGAAGCATCCCTAAGTACCCAATAAAACGAAACTGTCTTCATGGAATTGTGACTTGGGCAAATCTTGTTTTTAAGGTCATGCCTGTGTCATGCAGACCTTTCTCCATCCTGCCTCAAGACAGGAAACGAAGAGACTGGCGTTTGTCACGCCCACTCTGGACCACATGCTTCTCCATCTGTTATTACCCCCTTTAACTCTGCACAGACGGTACTGTGCACACTCAGTTATTTCACATCTTCATGAAAACTGTTTCTTGAAGGCCATTTGCTGAATTTCCCCAGCTAGGGCCAGGCTTACTTCCAAAGATGACAATCCACCTGCTTGCCTCACCCCTTGCTTTCCTGGAGAGACATAACTGCCGTGCGCCAGTGGCGACTCCCTCATGTCTGTGTCTACATCATCCCCTCAGGTCTTTACACAAAGTCACCTCAGCAAAACCACCTTTTCCATCACGTTGTTTAAAGTGATGCCCTGAAACACTCCTGACTCCCTTACAAGATCGTGTTGTTGGTCCCTCATCAGTGATGTGCTTCCTAGATGAAAAGGCCCTAGCTCACAATGTCTGCCAATTTCCCTGGTGTAAACACTCCCACCATGGCCATTTCAAGCTAGCAGTGTAGCTCATGGGATGCAGTGTTGGGAAGAAATGCTTGTCAGCTCTTCTGGATGAGCTGAATCCAGCACACCAGTGAATTCCCTGCTAGACTCTCAGCTTGTGATGGTAGGGGATTTCTTTCTTATTTTTTTTCTTGGTCTATTTGATTAACTGTTGTTTTCCTTATGCAATGAAATTTTTCCTGAATGAACAAGTAGGCTAATTCTGTCTTTCACAAACATGCCAGGTACCATGCCAGATAGTTGAGCTAGAGTGCTGAGTCAAGTGAACACTCATGAGGACGCGTCTGCCCTGGGTGACAGGCAGGAAAGGTTCATGTCACAACAGAGGGAAGCTGCAAGGAAGACTAACAAATGGCACCTGCAGTCCCCTCGGAAGATACACTTTAAGACGTGTCCTGAGGGATACATAAGAATTAGGTAGGCAAAAAGCAGGAAAAGAGGGGTGTGAGCATTTGAGGTAAACAGAGTGGCATGTACAGACGTCCTGGGGCAAGAGAAAGCTTGTTTTGAGGCTAAAGAGGACGATTGGACACCAGAAGACCAGGTAACAGATTACCATGATTGCTGAGCTGATGCTGCCTCCTCTTGGCAGGGGAGGTAAGGAAGAGTAACAAAGAACACTGTCTTAGGGTTCCCATGCTGTGAAGAGACACCATGACCACAGCAACTCTTATAAAGGAAACATTTAACTGGGGCTGGCTGACAGTCTCGGAAGTTTAGTCCCTTATCATCATGGTGGGAAACATGGCGGCATGCAGGCAGATATGGTGTTGGAGATGGAACTGAGAGGTCTACATCTTGATCCACAGCAGCAGGAGGAGTCTGCCACACTGAGTGTAGCTTGAGCAAAGGAGACCTCAAAGCCCATGCTCACAGTGACATACTTCCTCCAACAAGGCCATGCCTCCTAATAGTGCCACTCCTTATGGAGGCCATTTTCTTTCAAACACCGCAAGTACTAAAGAGTTGATTGGATCTGAAGGGCACAGAAGAAGGAGGAACACCCATGACTTCCAAGTTTCTGTGACCATCCTCTGCTAATCTGAAAGGGAAATTAAAGATCAAATTCATGGTTTGATCCAAACACCACAGGAACGCCCACACTTCTGAGTGTTGGTTCAGTCCCTCACTGAGCTTACAGCCCAGGTAAGAAGAATTAATTAGAAACACCCAGCAAGTCTGTGACACAGACGTGGGTTGATTTGTCTATCCGACAAGTACGTGTTGAGCAACTCCCATGTGTCAGGCGCTGTAGTGGGTACAGGGCGAGTAGCAGACAGCTAGACACAGATCCCTCCCCATGACGACAGCTTTTCTGGTGTCTGAAACTAGAGCCTGGTGCCTACATGTCCTTGTCCCCGGGGACAGGCGTGCGTTTTGCTGAGAATGGGGAGAGGTATAGAGATGTGGAGAATTTTGTTTTTATGTCTCTCACCTTCCCAGGATGTCATTTCTATTAGGGGAAAGGGCTTTGGGAACTTAGGAACGCCACTGTTGGAGGCAAGGCATATGGACCTTTGTCACTGTCCCTTCAGCCACGAGCATTTGTGAATCACGCAGAGGAACAGTACAGGAGGCTCTGAGGAATCGGGTGGCACAGGCCGGTTTGTGCTCCTCTGTGTCAGGCAGACGGGTGGCCAGCCTTTCCAGCACCAGGGGTCAGGCGTGATGGCTGCAGGACCCAGAGGAAGAAGTCTTTGAGCAGGATCCTGGAAGAGACGATACTTAACTGAAGTCACAAGCCGTAGCTGGGATCACCAGACAGAGCAGGCAGAAGGCTGTGCCAGGATAACACGGCCTCTCCCATGCCCCTGAGTGGTTTTCTCACCCTTCAGTGAAGTCCAGGCTGCGAGGAAGGGGGGAAAAGTTGTTTTTCAAAAGCATAAGGAATTGTCCAAAAACATCTGTACTTTTTTCAAATGGAAGTGATCACTGCCAGGAAAACAAGAAGTCATTTTGTTAGAACCCAGTTTCCATTTATTCCTTTGTCTTTGTTTAATTAGATTAATTCCTCAATGATCTCCCTTGGGTCAGTACAAATCACTCATGACCATAAATCCCGACATTCTAAAAACAGTATGAAAGAAAAAGCCACACAGAGCCAACTGGCAAGCTCGCTTTCATGGGACAATTCTTTGGGAATGAGAGCTATAATCCTTCCTGGTTCTTCACATTCCTCATTCTCATGTGTGTCTGGAGAGGAAACAAGGGTGGCAGCCATCGCTCTGAGACTTGTTGCAGAGATGAGGCTGAGCCGTGGGGTTGCAGTCCTAAGAGGAGTCTGAGCACCTTCCCCTCAGAGGAGCATGGGGATTTGTTGTTATTGTTGTTCATGGGGTTCAGTGATTCTCACCTGCTGCACTCTGAGGGCTTTGAGGACGTTTAGCAAACACTACCTGCCAAAACCCTACCCCTGGTTAGTCTGGTTTAATGGAAGGGGTGTGTCTAGGCATCGGGAGAGAGTATGGGGTGCGTGCGTGCGCGCGTGCGTGCATGCGTGCGTGCGTGTGTGTGCGTGTGTGTGTGTGTGTGTGTGTGTGTGTGTGCGCGCGCGCGCGCGCGCGTGTGCGCGCCTGCATGCGTATGCCAGAGGCCAGCCTCAGGTGTTGTTCACAGGAAGCATCCACCTTGCTTTCCTTTCCTTTCCTTTTTCCTTCTCTTCCTTTCCTCCTCCACCCCAGCAGAGTCTCACTGGGACCTGGAGCTCACCTGTCAGGCTAGGCTGGCTCATTGGTGAGCCAGGGATCCTCCCATCTCTGTCTCCTCAGTGACACAAGCCCACGTGTCTGGGTTTTTACATTGCTTGGCGTTGAACTCAGATCCTCAAGCTTACACAACAGGTATGCTACCCGTCTGAGCATTTTAGAGCCCCAACATCAGTGTTTTGGGAAGGGCTCCAGAAAGTTCTAATAGGCAGTTTGGTTAAGACTGTCCTTCTTCGATAGACAGGGTCACTCTGTGGACCAGGCTGGCCTCACAGAGATCTGCCTGCCTCTACCTCCCTGTGCTGGGCTTCATTTGGCTTCAAAATGCTACTTTCTAAAGGTTCTTTTGTGCCAGGTGGTGGTGCTATAGGCCTTTAACCCCAACACTCGGGAGGCAGAGGCAGGCAGATCTCCGTGAGTTCAAGGCCAACCTGGTCTACACAGTGAGTTCCAGGACAGGCAGCTACACAGAGAAACCCTGTCCTGGGGAGGCTTAGGAAAAGCTGCTGCCAGTGAGCTGGGACCCCTTGTCCCCAGCAGCAGGGCTTTGTGCAGAGTGTTGGCCACTTGCAAAGGGACTTAGATTCCAGTAAAGAAGACAGTGACCACACCACTGCATGAACACGTACACTGTTAATATCATGACCACGTCACTGCATGAACACGTATACCGTTAATATCATGACCACGTCACTGCATGAGCATATATACTGCTAGTATCACGATACGTGCCAAGGAGGAAGCGAACAGGGTTCACGGACAGCCAGTGTGGGAGGTCAAAAGCTCCGAGCAGCTCAAGCTCCTCATGGCAACAGGCAAACTTCCCATCACCCAACAGGCACACAGAAGTCTGGGACTGGGGACCACATCACTGTTCTCATACAAAGCGATAGTTTTCTTTGAGCTGGAAGTCGGATGAGGTCGGTGAGGTCCCCAGAGCTGAGTATCTGTGACGGATGCTGCCAGACACATCACTTGGGAGCACAAAGCAGGGTTTGGATGGAGTCACTGGTCTCTCCTTGAGGGTGGCCCTGTCATCTGTTGAGCAGAGTTGGGACTCCTCGGCTTCCTGGAGGGCTCTCAGCCATCTGGTGTCTGCCACTTGTCAGGGAATTCCCAGAGCAGAATCCAACTGCCAAGCCTGTCCTCCATATCAGCATGTCCCCTCAGTCTCCATTCTCCTCCTTAGACCTGAGCATTTCAATATGTGATAGTGGAGATTTTACTTAATTTTTTTTGTTTGTTTGTTTGTTTGTTTTGTTTTTTCAAGACAGGGTTTCTCTGTGTAACAGTCCTGGCTGTTCTGGAACTTTCTTTGTAGACCAGGCTGGCCTTGAACTCACAGAGATCCACCTGCCTCTGCCTTCTGAGTGCTGGGATTAAAGACACATGCTTTATTTTATTTTTTTTGAGGGCTCAGCTCAGACTGGAGAGATGGCTCCGGGGTAAAGAATACTGGCTGCTCTTCCAGAGCATCTGGGTTTGACTTCCAGTATCCACAACTATTGTAACCCCAGTTCTGGAGGATATGATGCCTTCTTCTGGCCTCTTTGGGCACCACATGCGTGGATATGGTGCACAGACATATGTGCAGGCAAACATCCATACCCATAAAAATAAAAAATGAAGTGCTCAATTTATTTAATAGATGCTGAGTCAGATCAGTTTTTTTATCTTTTCACTGGTTTAATATGTTTATCTAGAAACACAATACAAAATTCAAAGAACAGGTAGGTGATATTGCATATTTGTGTGTGTGCACATGTGTGTCCATGTCTGTGGAGGCCAGAGCTTGCCTTCCTCATCAGTCTTTATGCTCCGTGCACCTTTTCTTGGGTGTCTGTCGCCAGCCTGTGTCTTCAGGTGGGCGAGGCTATCTGGCCGAGTGCCACCTGCTCGCCTCTGCCTCCACCTCACCGCCGGGATGGCAAGCTCGTGCCACCATGCTTGCCTTTTGATGTGGGTTCTGGGAATCAAACTCGGGTCCTCATGCTGCCAAGATGAGAACTTTACAGACTGAGACATCCCCAGCCCCCGGAGGTGACAGTCAAACCAGCTGTTAGAGAAGCTGCTTGTGCGGTGAATGGTGGCAAACGCAGACTCGTGGATGTTTGGGTGAGAATAAGTGACGTCGAGGGCTTACCCCTAAACAAGGCTTTTATGAGACTGGAGAGGCCACTGAGCCACTAAGAGTGTCCCACAGAGGACCCGAGTTCAGTTCCCAGCACCATGTCGGGGACTCACAGTGGCATGTAACGCCAGCTCCAGAGGATTGACACCCTCTATGGGTAGCTATGCTTGTGGGCACATACAAACATGGTTAAAAATAAAATCAACCTTTGCTTAATCAATACAGACTTTTTTTTCTTTTAACTATACCTGAGAGTCAGGGACTGACAGCTTTCTGGATAACTAAGTTTTGTCACACTTGATGTGATAAAAAAAAAAAAAAAAGGAACTTCTCTTTAATATATTCAATCCTTTTAATGCTCTCTGACTTTCTCTGGTTTTAATGGCAGGATTGTGGGTAGAGCTACATGGCACCTGGCATTCCTTGCCAGGAAACAGCACCATCATGTCTGCCCATCTGTGCCAAGGAGAGGCTGAGTCAGTGCTGGGCTGAAGGTTCTTTAACCTTTCCATCCTCTTACATATTCCTGCACCCATGGCGGGAGACGCATGCCCAAACACTCATGTCCAAACACGCATGTCCAAACACGCATGTCCAAACACACATGCCCATACACACATGCCCACGTTGCATGTCTGTGACTAGCTAGCTCAGCACTGTGGAAATGCGGTGACTAGCTGACTTAGACAGTCCTCCTGACTTAGACAGTCCTCCGTCCCTCCCTGTAATCTTTCTTAGCTCCTCTCATGGCATTTGGCTTCTCTGTTTTCCTCACCCATTATGGGGATGGATAAGCAGAGTGCATAGAGAACTTCCAAAGACCTCCCCTGTAGTCAGATGGGTAGAGGAAAGGCTGATGGGACCTTGCCATGTGTCTTGTCAGTGTTCTAGTGCTGTGAAGAGACACCATGACCACGGCAGCTCTTATAAAGGAAATCATTAATTGGGGCTGGCTTGCAGTTTAGAGGTTTATTTATGGTGAAAGCATGGCGACATGGTGCTGGAGAAGGAGCTAGAATTCTACATTTTGACAGGCAGGCAGCAGGAAGAGAGAGCACTGGGCCTAGCATGAGCATCTGAAACCTCTAAGCTTATCCCCAGTGACACACTTCCTCCAACAAGGCCACACCTCCTAGTAGTGCCTCTCCCTATGACCAAGCATTCACATCTGTGGGCCTATGGGGCTGTTCTTATCCAAACCACCACACCGTTTTCAACAGAGTGGCGACTCGGTAGCACCCTGGGCCAGCTTATCTCATGATGTCAAAGGCTGTGCAAAACAAAGTCATCGCCTGTACACTGGTGAAGCTGTGTTTGCCCAAAGGCTAGGAATGGTCTTTGTGGGAGCATGGAGAAGCTCTTGTTCACAACTCAGCTCTCATGAGCCCTCACAATATGTTCAAAGTGGTTTTCATTACCACAGGAAAATACAAAATTGATATTAATTATTTAGTGAATTTCCATATAATTCCAACTTTGAAAATGGTTTTATCAGCAGGACTATGGTGGCACACGCCTTTAATCCTGGCACTTGGGAGGCAGAGGCAGTCAGATCTCTGAGTCTGAGGCAAGCCTGGTCTACAGAGCAAGTTCCAGGACAGCCAGAGCTACACAAAGAAACCTTGTCTTGAAAAACAAAAACAAAAAAAGAAAAGAAAAGAAAAAGTTGTTCTCTACACTAAAATGCACACGATGTCAGCAGGGGTTGCTCTGGGTTATGGGACCACAGGTGGATTTTCCTTTTATGTATTTTTGCCCCTCAGTTTTCTACAATGATAATCTATTAAAATGTGTAATATGATTTAGGTTGCTGCAGTAGTAAGTGTTAAAGAGTTGAATTGCCATGGGCCAGGAGCACTTCTTCTCCAGAGCTAGTGCTAATGGTGCAACTTTGCCTCAGTCCAGGATCTGTGTGCCACAGAGGACCATGGCTGTGAGCAGCTGTGCGTGAACGTGCCGGGTTCCTTCGTCTGCCAGTGCTACAGTGGCTACGCCCTGGCCGAGGACGGGAAGCGATGTGCAGGTACGTGTCTCTTTAGACCCGTGTGCTGAGGAAGGATGCTTTTTAGGCAGAATTTAAGCTTTAAAGTCTTCATTTTTGCTTGAGGTCAGTATTTGCTTATTCTAGATCCTCCACACAAAGCATGCCTGTGATAGTCTATGCACACATAACTGTTACTTCACTGCTTGAAAAGGGCAGGGTGGATTTGGAGCATAGTTTGGGGACCTAACTATATGTGTTATATATGAAATTTACTTGGTGATGGATGGAGGTGTTATGTGGTACCTCAAAGACACTGGTGGCCTTATCCTTCATTTTGGACCTGCAGTTCAGTGTATTGACATCATGGTCACAGAAAATCAAAAGCCTCAAACACAGAAGCCAGGGAAGGGGCCTTTAGGAAGTGCTTGGAGATGCAAACGCAGATTCAGAGTTGAGCACTTGGCCACTCCACACTGGGCGATCAGGTGAGAGACAGGTGCAGTCTTCCTTAGCCCTTGCAGAGCAGGCCAGCAAACCCCTAATGTGTGCAGCACCTTCTGATTGGCTGGAACACCTTTGCCTGGTCTCATTCATCATTGCAGCAAGAAATAGCAGGTAATAACAGGAGTTCAGTAAGCCGAACTGCAGTGAACCAGATTCCGACCAAATCTTGCTTTTCTGTTCTGCAGCCCCTTGCTTTCAGAGACCATGGTGTATCCCTTCATTCCTCGTTTCCTTCCACAGTATATGTTTACTCTTTTGCATTTCAAATGCATATTTTCCAGCATGCCCTGATTATTAGTTAGGGGTATGCAGGGCGGGGAAAAAGACAAAAGAAAAAAAAAGTGGTCATTTGCTATTTGCATGAGAAAAATGAGAGTACTGTGACTTTGTTTTTACACACCGGAATTGGTTTAGTGAGCTTTAGAGCTATTTGTTGGGGTGGGGGGTGTTAATTTACTGGTGGTGACCATGACAGAGTGGCAGGTTGACACATCACCAAAAAAGAAGCCAACACATAACCACCCATTCTTATATTTTGTTTCATTCATTTTTATTGTACAACTAATATTTAAAGGATGAGGAAATCACTGTTAATAGTTCATTGTATTTCTACCATATTCCCGCTAAAATGTCTACCACAAAACCTTGTCCATGCTGAACAAGAAGTTCTGCCGTTTAGTTTTGTCGCCTGTTTTTGCCCCTTCCTGTTGTTAAATGAATAGAAACTTTGTGAACTGAAAAAGTAAAGATAAGAAAGGGGGTGGGGTCTTTGTGAGGAGTGACAGGTGCTAAGTAAGCATCAGGAGTCAGGAACACAGTTACTGAGTGAGTCGGGGAGAAACCAAGAGCTTGTGAGAGTCCCAGGGGATCGGTGAGCAGGAGGCCAGCTCATGGGAGGTTGGGAAACTAGACGTGGGGGGACACGGACACCCAGTCCTCTCTGTATTACCAAATAATTGCCTAATTGTCCCCGGGTAGTAGAGAATCTTTGTGTCTCTCAGGATTCTGCTGTAAGTGTGGCATTTGACATTTGCTGAAGGGCAGAGAGAATGAGCGAGAACACGCTGTGGTTGCCGGGAGCAGTGCTGGGCTGTGTTCATGGAGACGGGTGTTTTCCCTGCTGATGCTTAGGAGCACATGAGAGTGTCTTGGGCTGGAGAGATGGTTCAGCCGTTAAAGGCGAGGCAAACAGCCCAAATGCCAAGAATGTCTTGCCTGTATTAGGCGGTCAAGCAGAAGGATGGTAAGCCAAGAAACACTGTATCCTAGTGTGACCTGAGTCTCATCCCTCTGATGATCCTGGCATCACCGTCTCCACACCTCTCCTGACAGCCACTGACCAAGCCTCTGTGGGAAGCAGACGTAAAATGAGCAGGCAGATCTCTGTGGCCAGTAGCCTCAGTTAGGGAGTCAAAATTCTCAAAAGTCAGTTGCTGTCCCATAGGGCTGTGTTGAGAACCCAGGAAGGACAGAGGTAGAGAAGAGAGACATCTGAGGAGCTGGACCGGAAAATCTGCATATAGAAGGAAGAGCAGCCACTGGACAGATGAGCAAGCAAGAAGCCACGTGATGGACAGTGATGGTGTGGAGGTGGAAGTGTTTTCAAAAGAGAGCTATCATAGTGAAATATCCTTAGAAGGTACCCAAGTGGCCCAACAAGGCACCATCCTCCGAGGTGGAGACTCCAGGGCTACAAAATATCACAAAACAAAATCACCTCGATTTGTAATGTTTTAAGTAAGAGCACAGTTTTCTGTTGGGCCACTTCATGGCTGTCCTGGGTTGGACACACCTGAAATTTCATGACCTTGAGCTTCTAAGACTCTGAGAATCACGCAACAGTGACGAGGAGAGATGAGAATGGACTCAAGAAAAGACAGCCTGAGTTTTAGGCAAAGCGAAGTTGGAATTATGACAAGACAAGGCAAGGACATGTCAGAGGGAAAGCAGGAAATAGCACAGTGCTGAAGAGGATGCATAGAAAGCCAGCAGGGCGGGCAGGAAGCAGCATGTTTGCCCCTTGTTCCTTTTAATAGCTATTCGTTTTTTGTTTTTTTCGGTTTAAATGTCTATGTGTCTTTACTTGTTCCGTCAAGCCTTACATTCCAGTGCCCAGTGAAGCACGTCTTTATTTCATGTAATCTCCGAGTTTTGGGTTTTTTTTTTTCATCCGCAATGAGGAGTCATAACACCTACTACATAGGATTTGAGAGGATAAGCTATTGAGTAAAGTTCCCAGTGTGCACTAGGCTTGGTTGTGACTGGAAACAGCCAGGATCATTTCCTGCCTATTGATGAAATGTGGATGGAGGACTGAGCCTTTAGTCACTGCCATGTATAGAAAGCAGAAGAACCACAGGCAAGAAAAATGTCTACGGCTGTAGAGGGAAGGGAGAGGAGAAAGCGCATGTGAGGAATTGTAGACTGTGATGGAGAGACAATCTCCAGTCGGTGTTCTGTTGTTGTGATAAGGTATCACAGCAAATGTCCATCTTAGTCTTCATTACTTTGCACTAAAGCGCTGTTTATCTCCGAGGACAGCTGAGTGGTTTCTCCCACACTGGGCAGAGCCTGGATGTGGCAAGGCTCACGTTGACTCTGGGACTTTAGCCCTCTGTGATCTGCCTGGACCAGGGATGGCAGCCGGGAGTTACTGCGTTCCTTCCCTATATGAAGGCGCACATGGAGACTCCAGGCAGGGATGACAGAGGGGTTTTGTTGGAGTGAGTGAGGATCAGCAGAGGTGCTGCTGACTTGGAGAGGAGCTCCATACATCTGCCCCTAACCTTGGCCTTCCTTTTCACAAACACAGGTTTGCAACTAAGGAAGTTATGTAACAAATCCAAAATATATGGTGAATAATCCCAGAGCTGAGTGGACTTGAACTCTCTGGACTTTAAAACTCTTTGAGGGTCCCATGACTGGAAATGGGTTTCTTCACATTCAACTGCTGAGTGGTGGCCTGGGCTGCCACCCCTAAGTGGCCTGACAGTGAGTCAGTGATGGCATTGAAACCTTGAGGTTTTATAGACCAGGCTCTTAGGAACCTCTGAGCACTGAAGGCAGCTTCCCTTCGTCCAGACAGAACTCCCTTTCGACCACACCACTCTCCTCTACCTCTCTTCCTGTTCCACACTGCCCTGGTGCCGGTCATGTAGCATGGGAGGCTGTTCCCTCCTCCGGGCCTGTGCACTTACTCTCCTCACCTGGGATGCTCACTCCTGGGTGTCTTTGTGGCTGGTACCGCATTCCTTACTGTCCAATCACCTTCTTTGACCACCTCCATCAACCCAGTGTCCTCCCCTGACAGGTCCTACTCACCTTAGTTTCCTCCAGAACATTCTGCATCTTCTAATGGATTGTGTTATTTGATGACTTGTCTGTTACCACCACCACCACCACCACCACC